ATGACTAGAATTTTATTAACAATTCTTCTATTTTGCAGCATTTTCTATTTGGTTTTGTTTTAATACTTCCCAAGCAAAAGTCACAAATATATTTGGGAATGTCACATGTGTGCCATGCCCTGTTGGGACATATGCAAATGACAGTAAGTCCGTCTTCTTTATTTATTTATCAAAAAAATAGATATGGTTGATAATTTAGTTGTTTATAATTTGTAGGTTTACTGCAATGCAAGCAGTGTGCTATTTCAGGATATTGCATCAATTCATCATCATGTGTAGAGTGTCCTCCTGGACATTTTCAAAATGAACAAGCAAAAGCATCATGTAATCAGTGCAGTCCAGGGTACCATCAAGAATTACCTGGACAATCAAACTGTACTTCTTGTAAGCCTGGAATGTATCAACCTTTAYTGGGAAAAGCAACTTGTTTGCCATGTAAAGTAGGATTTTATCAGCCAAAATCAGCCCAGAAAACRTGTTTCGAGTGTGAATCAGGRCACTACCAGCCACAGGCAGGACAAAAGACTTGTCTGGAATGTAAGCCTGGATCTTCACAGCCAAGTCATGGACAAACTGAATGTCAGTTATGTGATAAGGGACAGTATCAGCCTCTGCCTGGAAAGGCTAAGTGCTCAGAATGTAGTCCTGGCTATTCACAAAATGCACAAGGTCAACCAAACTGCACAGCCTGTAAACCAGGTGAATACCARCCARAAYCTGGACAATCTGAATGTCTGTTATGTGATAAGGGACAGCACCAGMCACTGCCTGGTCAACCAAACTGCACAGCCTGTAAACCAGGCCAATACCAGCCAATATCTGGACAATCTGAATGTCKGTTGTGTGATAAGGGACAGYAYCAGCCACWGCCTGGAAAAGKTAATTGCYTGRAWTGTAGTGCTGGTCATTCACAGAATGAACAAGGTCAACCARACTGCAAAGCMTGTGAGCCAGGCTCATATCAGAATTTAASAGGACRATCACAATGTGAGTTATGCCCAAAAGGACATTTTCAAGACATTCCTGGTGCAACAACATGTAAAGCATGTACACCAGGAACTTATCAACCAAACTCTGATAAAAGGTAGGGGTTTGRTCTGCCTGTTTGCTGTTTCTGTTATATAGAGGATATTACTTTGCACACCAAGATACAGATTTTATCTTCAAATGTTCCATTGATATCGCACAAGTGATCAATGTMAAACTCAAAGATAAAATCCTTACCTCCATGTGCCCATGTAATGTTCTGTAATRTAATGTTATTTTCATATATGAAAGATATCACATTTTTGCGTTAGAGATTTCCTGTTATTCTATTGAAGTTTATACAATAAACTAAGTTATTTATTGTCTTTCTTTATTTTTAGACCATCCAGCCACAGCCTGTGTCAATTGTGCCCAACTGGAACATATTGCAGGTAAAAAGAAACTTAGTAAAATGTTTTTTTCATTTTGTTTTACAGCACTGATAATAATCTCTGATCTTTTGTAGCCATAATGAATGCTCTCAGTGTGAACCATGCCCAGCAGGAAAAGATTCACAATTTGGAGCAAGAAACTGTACAAACTGTACAGCAGGTGAATGAATGAATGAACGAATGATTGATTGAATGAAAAATGAATGAATGGTCATGAGTGAATGAAAAAATGGCTAAGAGAATTACAGTTGTAAATGAGCAATATCAAATTTTGATTGATTTGATTAGTAAGTACATGTAACTACCATATATGAAGTAACAGATGGACAAGCAAGTGAATACTCCAGTTTTGAGATCTTATTAGTGCAGCCCTAACCTTAAAAGCATGTAATATTTTCTTTTATAATCATAAAATTTTCCATGGAATATCTATATTTCTCCATTTCATAAAGTTGATATTTTCTGTAGTGAAAATAACACATTTGAGGTTTCTCTATATAGTGGAAGTAAGAAAAAAGGACCGTATTTACCCATGTATAAGCCGCTCTCGTAGATAAGCCGCACCCCGAGTTTTAGGAATGTTTTGGAGTAAAAAAAAGACGGAAAATAAACTACGGAAAATAATCGCCACTTGCGAACACACTAGCTTTCTTTGATTTTAAAGTGCTTTTCCGCTGCTCGATTTCCGTGATCCATGCATTTCGTATGCAATTTTATGACATAATTTGTTTTCATATGTAATTACATATGATAAACAGAATATTACATGGTCGTTTGGAGATACGAATTTTATCTTCTTGTCTTCTTCACTACGCTCACAAGTGAGATATCTTTTCAACACTCGAAGATAAAATCTGTATCTCCATGCTCCCATGTAATATCCTCTATTTATTCAGTAAAGATCCTATTGTAATGCAAACACTCTGTCTACAAAAAAGACAATAAAAATGTATGCTCAATTGAAGCTCATCTTGCACAATAGAGAATTCGAAACTGGAGTATTTATGAATGTTTGTATACATCAATTATAAAGAATTTAATTGGTTTAGGGAAATATAAGCCTGAAAAGGGAACTGCGCAATGTCAATATTGCAAAGCAGGGTGGTATCAAACAAAGACTGGTCAGACATCATGTAAGGAATGCCCCGAGGGTTACTACTGCCCAGTAAGTAAAGTGCATATTAATGAAAGTAAATGAGAAATGCGATGAATCATTGCATCGAATGGTCATAGAATGCTAGCTAGGTTTTAAAGCAAGCAAAGATAGATAGCAGCACTCCCTTTTGGTTTTYATGTTGGATAAACAATTGTTCAAAATGTTCTCTGTASCAGTCAATTGCGCATGCTTAATAGCGACTAAAYTCAGCTGTTAAGTTTTTTGYCATTTTTTGCCATATATCTCACTGTAATTCATGTTGATTAGTGTTAAAGTCGTTTACAACATTTGCTTCCGTGTTGTATGTGAATTACAATCTCGAGGTGTAGGTGCTCATGTTCTATACTATACATAACATGTCATGTGATGTAATCGATAATGATATGCACCTATTGACTGAGTGTGAGGGCCGTACTGTGCTCTGTCCATACAAATGACCGAGAGCCGACTTTTTCTCATACGGGCCTACTCAACYCGGTCAATAAGCATTTCATTGTGTAGTGCTCCTTTCAAAAAAATATGAAAAAACAAAACCACCGGTTAAAATCAAAAGCAAGCGCGACTCCATGCCGACATTTCTGACATTTCAGAGGTTTTTAGTATGCGATATGATTAGAAACGGGTTTGTGCGGCCCGCTCGGGCAAAGGGCGTACAACCAACATCAGGTGACTTCTTCCAAAGCCTTTAAGAGCGCACGACCGGGAAAATACARGTCTCATATGATAAAAGTGATTCTGTTATTTATGATRRKGATGATGATGATRAATGATATACRTTAATTTGTCAACAGTGGCCTAGTGATGAGCCCCATCAGTGCCTACCAACAGTATATTGCCCACCRGGRAATACCTCACCATCAGGAAAGCARTGCGCAACATTGTTTCAAAGAGATCCCGATAACAAGGTATACATCATGTGTGCTTTACTACTGCGGACTTCGCTKAATATGAAGTTCTCAATATTATTTATATTTCTCGTAGAAAAACTGTGTGCCAACAACCGCTGTGACAGTTATAATTGTTGTGGGTGTTGTGGGTAAGTGATTGCTAGTTTTTTCCTACTCTAGTGTCACTGTATGTTTACCTTTTCAACCTGTTATTCTTTACTTTACCATGTACGTTAAAATATTGTTTGGTTATTTTTCGACAGGAGTAGTGTTAATAGTTGCTATTATAGTGTATAGAAGAATCCAAAGGTAGTGTTTTTTGTTTTGCAAAATAAATGGAACACCCTAACGCTATCCCCCCTGCAAGGTTGCACACACGTTACTTGCCTCATCCTTGGCGATTTAGCAATTCATTGACAGACAACATTGCAAAAAGGGAGGGGAGTTTGTATGAACACAATACTTAGACGGCGGYGTTTCACGCAATTTTGCAAAAGATTGTATTGGCTCATTTCTGTCAGCCTGCCTACCATTTTAATTTCAGCTTTTGTGTGTTTTTTTTTCAGTGTTATACATTTTGATTGTTTATCTGGCTTTTTTGTCTGATTGCAGACGAGGTGGTGAAAACCAGAGATTACTGTCGTCAAAGAGTCATCCCGTTTATACAGGATGGTGAACAAGAACGCTTACTTCCTAGACGTTTTAAGATCCGTTCGCTTAAATTATCAAAATATTTGAAAAGATTTTTCAGAATCGTTGCAAAAAACACAACATCTGATTCGTACCATAACTGGACACCTATAGTTAGCCTGCAAAATACACCAAAACACTGATATTGTAAATTAGAATCTTTTTAAAACAGAGCAATCAATTTTTTTAAGTTATCGATCTTATTTTTATTATGTAATGATAGTAACTTTATTGACTCATCATTCAGTGAAAAATACGATGAATTTACGAATGGGTTTGCTTACGCTGAACCTTTACATTTGTTGAGCTAAATAAGATACCCTGCGAACAGAGTGTTACTTATCTGTTAGGAGTGTTACCCCAGCCCCCCCTGGTGAATGACACTCTGTTCGCAGGGTATAACTAACTAAGATTATCTCAATCAGAAACTGGACCAATCAAAAACGTTTTTATTGCAAATGTATATACAGTATAAATTATTTTTCAATTTGATTCATTTATGACGAATAAATTCGGCATTCTATTAATATAAGTAGTTCAATAAAATCCTGTATTTCAAGTGGATTAGCGAAGTGTTTATTTTAGAAGCAGTGTAGTCGTATGTTGCGTTAATTGATGAACCATTGTCTTCTCTCTTTCACTGCATGCGAAGGTGTTTGTTTCCATACTGTGATAGAGTAGTTGAGGATGAAATATTTTTTTCTGGGRTTGAGGAACGAACGACAGACGATAACCACTGGCATGGGTTCCCGAGGATTGATCGCACGTCCGGGGATGGTTAAATCTGTTCCAATCAATCTCGTACCCAGAGCCGTCGTTCCTCTTGGTCGATCTTCGGCGGTGACCGAAAAGTATCGCAGGCTCTGGGTACGAGATTGTGTTCCAATGATAAAATATTTAATGACAAAACAAAACGCAGAGGAAAATCAATGTCGATGTGCTCTTCTTCTGGCCGTTCATACGGTAACCGTACGCCGAGTATATGTTTCTATTCGTACGGACATTGTATATATTCTGAAATTTTAAAGTAATTATATAAGATATCGATTCAATGGCACGCATGCGCGAGTAAACTTGAAAACACTAGGCTAGTGTTTTCAAGTTTATGACTCCAAGTTGGAGCGACATAAATCAGCTCGTAAACGTAAACAGATCTAGAATATTCCAAAGTGTGTCAAAAGCACCACAAAATGATTTACCTCGAAGGTAATACTTTCAAAGTCCGTTAGAGGTGAGACTGTTACTGCGCATGTCATCCATTGACAGTGTCCCTTTAA